CCTCCCCCCCCATGTATATGTACTGTGTAAGTATTTTGTATACCGAGTAAAAAAAAAAAATATTTTATAATAAAAAAAAATATATATGATGGTGTGTAGGTATGAAGAGCGTTTGAATCCTCGTTCTCAAGCATCTCTGCGTCTATACACCGCAGCAGATGATAGGCCCCCGCATGCACCTTTTGGGGCTTGGGCATCAGAATATAGCGTAGCTTTTTCTCGGGGAGAATGGAAACACCAGCAGCAGCAGATGTATTCAGATACTCTGCTAGCCAATGATAATACAGGGCCAAAAGACTGGACCACTTGCTATAGATATGACTATAGGTATGCATGCATGCATGCATGCACCTGCGGTGTACATACACCCCAAATATGAAGTTTATTTTCTTCATATTCATCCAGAAAACAAATACATAAATATTATAATTTTTTATCAATTAAAATTTAAATTAAGTAAAAAAAATATATAAAAATTATTATGTTTTTACACGCTAAATGAAACCAGAAATGACGCATGCATACACCTGAAATATACACAGAAAATTATATATATATATATATATATATATATATATATATATATATATATATATATATATATATATTATATATATAATATATATATATATATATATATATATATATATATATATATATATATATATATATATATATATATATATACCGCAGATAAACACAGACATTCTGCATGCATAGAGATTAAATAAACACAGAAAAAGCAAATGCATGCACTCTTAATTTAATACAAACACAGGCTGTACATACACCCCAAAATGTTGCTTAGTGAGGGATTTGCTTGGGCTGTTTGTATACGAATTTAATTTATTTTTATTTTATTTTATTTTATTTTATTTTATTTTATTTTATTTTATTTTATTTTATTTTATTTTTTTCTATTTTATTTTATTTTATTCCATTTTTATTTTATTTTATATTATTTTATTTTATTTTACATTACTATTTAATTTAATTTATTTAATTTATTTTAATTTAATTTGTTTCAGAAACCGCCAGCAAGAGGAGATGAAGGGCCGCCAGCAGCAAAAAGAAGAGCAGCAGCAACGAGCAGCAGCAGCAGAAGAGAGACTTGCTGCTGCAGCAGAAGCCAGATTGCCGCAGTGGCCACTCACACCAGGTCAGTATATATATATGTATATATATATATATATATATATATATATATA